TCGAGGAGTTCGCCCATCCGTCGGGACGCGGCGGGGGTTTCGTCGTCGTCGGCTTCGTTCAGGCGGAAGTCTTCGGGTAGGGTGGGGTGGAAGATCTGCCGGTAGAAGTGGGGGCCGAATTTTTCCTCGCGGAGGCGTTCGAATAGGTCCTGGTGGGTTCGGCCGTCGGGGGGGACGCGGTCCACGCTGGGGACTTCCGTCGGGTCGACGGGGGGCTCGTCTTCGAAGTCTTCGGCTCGGTACGGTTCGTGCTCGAAGTGGCCGGGGTTGTAAGTGTCCGCCGAGCCCTGGAACACGTCTGAACTCCCTTCCGAGTTTTCGCCTTCCGGTTCTTCGTCTTCCTCCGAGTCTTTGTCTTCCCCCGCGTCGTCCACCGTCCTCGCCTCCGCACTCTCTCCCGCCTCTGCACTCCCTCCCGCCTCCGCACTCCCCGACCCATTCTCCGCGCCTGCGCTCTTCGGCTGCCTCGTCCGAATGTGAGCCACGTGCTCCTCGGGCAGTCCTCCCCCCTCCGTGTCCTTATGGTGGTATCCCTTCTCGTCGAATCCTTCCTCGATCGCGAGCTCCAGCTTCTTCTCGAACCCTTCCTCGATCTTACGCGGCTCCTTGAAGGATTCCCGGACGGCTGGGTCCTCGGTCTGATCGTCGGTCCTATTCACCAGCTCCACGACCCACATGAAGGGCGTGAAGGCGTGCTCGTCCAAGCGGTTCAGGGCGTTCGACGACGGGCGACCGACCGATGGCGTCGGCCGACCGACCGACGACGTCGGCGCGTCCGCCGACACCCGATTCCCGTCGAGGATTTCTCGGTCTGGGGAGATCCGACTGGCCTGTTTCGAGTTTTGAGGCTCATCACGGCGCGAGTTTTCATTTTTCGAGTCTCTATTTTTAACGTCAGCGATCGGCGATCCAGGATCGATCCCACTCGCCTGTCTCGAGATCGAGGGCCGCAAGTCCTCGCGGAGCAACTTCCCTTTCTCCTCGCCTCGATCTCGAACGGCCTCGATCCGACCCTTCGCGTTTAACCCAAACGGATGGACCTCCTTCAGGTCGTTGAAGAACGAGAACCCGGAGGCGTAGGATGGCACTCGAGATCCAAACGGAATTTCGGGGGAATCGGAGACGGCCGGCCCGATCTCCCGCGACAACTCCCGGAGAAAATCGCCGTGCGACACGACCTTGCCGCCGAGAAAGTCCGCCGCGTAGGAACCGAAAAACGCGGACCTGGCACCCGCGATCGTGGCACCCGCGATCGCGGCACCCGCGATCGTGGCACATCGCAGCACGTCGCAGCACAGAAGCAGCAGAGGAAGGCCCGGCTCGGTCCGCATGGTCAGGACATTCTTCTCTGGACTGGGTCCCCTCCCGTCCCCTCCCCTCCCCTCCCCGCCCCGACCCGCCGAGAAGGGGGGGAGAAAGTGGAGCGCGACCGTGTCCGAGACAATATCCCGAGCTCCTGTCCATCGTCGCCCTTTGTCGCCTTTTGTTGCCCTTTGTCTTCCCTTTCGTTTTCGTCGGGTCTTCTTTCTCCGTGATTTTTTTTTCAAACCTTCGCGAAGGTGGCACGTGCCGCCTTCGCGAGGCACGTGCCACCTTCGTCTTCATGACGAGCGACACAATAGAAATGTTCGCCCTTTTTTGCTTTTTTTCCTCGGGTGACACCGGGAAGTAAAACGGGAAGCGGAATCAGCGAGAACAAAGGTCAACGGTCCTAACGAGCTTTGCGGAATCAGTCGGGAAGCGACCGGGCGAAAGTGCACGGCTCAAAGAATCCCTGCCAAAAAAAAAAGGCAGAAAAAAAACGGGCTAAACTGGTATACCTAGACTCCTTTCGTATGTACCCATGGTAAAAAAATAAATATATATAAACAGAATAAATTGGATGGCTGTCGTGAACGCGATGGGACTCAAGTTTGTGTCGCGAGGGAATTTTGGCAAATTTTTGGCGAAGTTTGCACTAGTTCTGTTCCCTCGGGAGTAAGCGAAAGGTTCGCGCCGGAACGCCGACGACGCGATAGCGTAAGGAGCCTCATTTCGTTTTCGTTGAAAGGAGGCTCGCTAAAAACCAGAGCAGAACGCAAGGCTCCTTTGTCCCTCGCCGCCAGGGGTGGTTGGGGGGGGGAGGGGGGGCGGGGGCGGGGGGCAGGGGGGGGCTTTTTGCATCTTCACGCTCGGAAGGGAGGGAAAGGTGCGGGTGCGAAATTGGCACGGAGCAAAATTCTCATTTCGCAAATTTCAACGTCATTTTAGCACAGTCGGGCGACGTTTGCGCGTCGTGTGCCAATTCATCGCGCAAATTCGAAGCCCTCGAAATCGAGAAGGTCGTGAACGATTCGGTGGCAATGAAAGTCTCGGAATGTCAGCCGCGGTCGACCGTGAGCGGGCCAATTGGACGAGGTCAATTGGCCCCGTCCCCCGTTTCCCACCACTTCCCGGGGTGGGAAACGGCGTGGGAACGGGCGAACGGTCCTCGCAACGGGCGATCGTTCCGCTTTCAGTTCCTCTTTTCAAGTGCAAGGGGAATTTCTTTTCGTGAAGCGGCTGCAATCCTCTTCGCAATTCTCCGTTTTCGCATCTTTTTTTTTGCAATTTGCTGTTGGCGATTTGCAGGACGACTCGTGCCAAAATGGGGGAAATGTTGGGCCATTTTGAAGCTTCGACCGGAAGACGTTCTGCTTGCTCGGGCGCGAAGGGTCACGAGATCGCAAAAAAAAAATTGGCAAAAAAAATTGGCAAAAAAAATTGCAAAAAAAATTGGCAAAAAAAAATTGGGACGAGACAGGGACAGGAAGATGATCGTTTTCACCCTCTCAGTCCTGAATTTTTTCAATTCATAAAATGCAGTCCATAAAAGATGCAAAAAGGAATTTCTCTCATTAAACCATCCGCAACGAAACGTGAGGAACCCCCCCCCCTCCCCCCCAAGAAAAAAATTAAAGGAAAAAAAATTGGAAAAGAGATAAGAGGGACTCAGGAGTTCCGCCAATCTCTGGAACGCGAAAAATAATTTTTTTTTGCATTTGCATGACTTGATATTTTCGGTTAATCACAGTTGGATTCCCGGAAGCCGTCCCTCCCCGAGAAACGAGAGAAAATACATTTTTCCGCCCCTGTGACCCGCCGTAGGGCCAACGGAGCCGATTTCCCTCGAGACAGCGAACAAGACAGCGAACATTTAAGTGCCGCCGGTGTAGTATGCGAATCTGACTCGTGTCAAAACCGACTACGGTAGTGTTTCTTGCGTACGCAATCGTGACTACCGTAGTCAATTTTTCGCAGCAGACTTAACTACCATAGTGGTTTTTGCGACCGCCAATTCTACTAGGTAATTATATCAGTGTACGCGAATGTTACTACTTCCACGCAAAAATAACTCCTCTCCGAACAAATGCATTTTCGCATATTTTATTCCTGTGACATCAGCTAAGTTCATTAATTTTTTTTCAAATGGTTTTACACTGGAGCCTGACATTCGCATTCTGTTCCTCGCACTCGGATCGGGGATGCACTCGCATCTTCACTCCTTCCATCCCAGCGCTTCAAATTGCTGCCGTGCGCTTGTACGGCAAACGGGAAAAAGCACTCGCCTCCACCGCTGACCTTCCCCTTCTCATGCAAAACTCCACCGATCAGGCAAAAGGTCGGTGCTTTTCGCCTCAGGTTGGACTTCGCTGCAGGGCTGTTCTTCACGGATGAGGCGCACTACCCATGAATAAGGTACGTTCGATCGATTCGTAACTATAATCGGCCATTTCTTCAGAGACAAGTATATTTCACGAGGAAACCACAGAACTGGTGAACTGTGCTCTTTAACCCCGTCCTTTCATGCTTCAATTCCTGTACCGATAAGTACCAAACAGGTCAGGTCAAGGTTTCAGGGAATTGGTAATCTCCTACCCAGACCCTGGAGGCATGGCTGGAAAGGAGATGGTACAACGAACGCACAGCCCATTACGAACATAGTGAGCTTACAGGAGTCATTTTCGCGTGACAATAGTGAGTCCTGCCTACGCGGATTTTACTACGGTAGTGAATCGGCGGTCACCATTTTTACTATGGTAGTGGTTTCAGCGTACACAAATTTCACTACGGTAGGCCTTTTCTACGGGGTAGTCAGAATCGCGTCCTACACCGGCTGCCCAGAGGCAGACCGGAAACATCCCCCTTCCTTATTTCTCTTCCCATCAAAAAGTGGGAGTGTCCTTACGGTCCTCATCCGGAGCAGTACTCAAAATAGGCGTAAGATGGCGGTTGTGTTCCCCCGAGCGTTCCGACTCGAGTCGTGACGCGCCGGACCTTAGGGAAGAGTTTTATTCCTTCCCCGAAATTCTTCTCATCGTGATACTTGTGAAGCAACATTTGCTAAAAAAATATGATTATCATGTTTCGATGGCAATCGGTCGATCTGAAAAATTTTACATGCTGGAGTTTTAAACGAGGACGGATGTGTGTAAACTAACAATTTTTACTCCTAGAAAAACGAGCAGTTAAGTTTCGAAAAACTCCAAAGATCGTCTTTACAGTAGTTTTCGACTGTGTTTTCCTGCGTCCACGATGTTCGTGAGACAGCCCTGAGACAGCCAGCGCCTCGAAGCTCGTCGCCGAGCTGTCACCGTCTGTCGTTAAATGCTCGCTTCAGAGCTGGGAGTTTGGATTGAAAGGCGCTTAAGCCCGAAACGCGGGACCGATGGGAGTCTAAAAGGAAACATTCGTGATCGAATGAATAGAGATGAGAAGGATACGCATTTCCACCTTATTTTGCTTGGTACATTTTTCGACGAACGCATCCTATGGCAAACGTTTCTACATCGTAACGTACAAAATACGTGCCTTATTGTACGTTTTCGCTTTGAAGTGTACACGATGCAGATCGACGGAAGAAATGTAGGAAGAAATCCCTTGCTTTCATTCACCATCAGAGCATATTAACGTGGATCGTACGTAATTGCCACCGACCTCGAAGCTCCCGATCGAGAGGCATTCATCAAAAACCTTTATTAATCGTCTTCAAGAATTCCACATGGATCTCGTTCCGACGTTCCGTCGGCGAATTCAGGGCGACTTCTTGCAGACGTACGACGAGCGAAAGGAAGTGGGATTGTCGGTGTACCAGGACGAAGTGGCGGCGGCGGCACACTCCGTGCCGACGGTCGGGTGACCCTGCTCCCACCGGTCCAGGGTCAACGGGGTGCCGTCCAGCCACTCCCAGTCGCCGGAGCCCCGGAGCCGCAGTCCGATCCACACCTCGTTGCTCTGCGGCACGGAGAGGTAGAACGTCATGGCGGTCCAGAGGAGTTTCTCTTCGTCTGCGATGACGAGAATGTCGGCTCCGGGAAAATCTTGGCAGTACGTCCGGGCTTCGTCGAAGGAGACGGGTCGCGGCGAGACGTGGAAGCACACGGGACCGGGCCAACAGGTCCAGGTCCCGCTGTGGGATTCGGTGGACTCGCACACCACCGGCTTGTTTTCCGAGCAGCTCCGGCTCACCCATCGATCCGGAATCATGTGGATCCCGCAGTAATCCAAGGTGCATTCGAGCGGCGAGTCCTGCTCGCCCCCGGACTCCCACATGTTGTGGAAGTCGTTGGCCGAGCCGTCCGTGAACTCAAAGCTGAACGGATCTTCCCCCAGACCTCCAGTGGTGGTCGCTCCGATTCGCAGCGTCCCCCTCCGCGCGTGTTCCTGGACGAAGAGCTGCTCTCCTCGCGAGTGGATGCTAGCCAGCGTGGCGTTCCTGTCCACGCAGTCTGCCTCGGCGCCGACGTAGGTCATCTCCTCTTCCGAGAAGAAATAGCAATGCTCGCCGAACTCCACCCAGCCTTCTTCGCATTTCGAAACGGTGACGTAGGTCAGACTGAATCTGAATCCTTCCTCGTCGTCGTTATCTGACACGAAGGTGATTTGGAGAATGTCCCCGACCGACTCGATGATCCAGGGATGCTCCTGCCCGCAGAATATGTAGGATTCTCCCTCGGGATCCGTGATGGATAGGTAATCGCCCTGAACGCAGCCCGGCGTTTCCTCTAAGAGGAACTCGTCGAAAATCAGATGGATGCTCCGAGTGCGCGGCGCCTGGATGAGAGAACAAATTAAATTTCTCATAATCGTATTTGCTTTGCGTCAAACCCACGGGAAAGCTGCCGGTTAATTTAACTGAGCAATCTCTCAGAAATTTGCCTGAAATTTCGTCGATCTCAGCTTTTCGGCACGAAACAACGAAATTCCGTTGGTTGAGATTGGCAGATTCTACATTACAATTAAGCATATTGGAAGCTCTTGGGGGTAGCTTTGCGCGAGAATAAATTCACCATTCCTGGAAAGCATACGTAACGTTTTGCGACTTAAACATACATACAGGGTCGTATACGACCTCCGGATGTTTTCAATTACAAAACGTGAAGTTGTCAAATTTGTTTCAGGCAGTGTGTTATTTGGTGTACATCAATAATTAAAAATCGTTATCCCAATATGTTCCATATATTAACACCATGGAAATAACGACGGGGTCACCTATTAACTCGCAAGGTGCATTCTGTGTTTAAACTCGCTGGTATCACCAGGTTCGCTGCATAAACGAACTCTCTGAGCGATCCTCGCTCGAGTCGCGTGCATCAGTGCCCTGCCATCGATAATTCCATTATTGGTGTTATTGCGTAGGAAGAAATAGAGACGGAAAAATGATGCTCTTCTTTCAGCAGTGATACGAGAATTCCCTCGAGACTGGAGGAACCATCTGCTCGTTCTCAGGCACGAAATGCAGGCTTCCCGATGGGAATTTCATTCAGACGTTCCTCGAACGAAATCGCAGTCGACCGAGTTTCCAGAATCCACCGCGAAAACGCAGGGCCCTTGCTCTCGGTGTGCGCCTCCTCGAGGGAGACCTCCGACTGCAGCGATGCGGAACCTCCATCGCCTTTTATACCTTCCCTCCCCTACCATCCGACCTCCGGATTGGAGCCGCAGGCGGCACTTTCGAGCCAATGAGAGACCAGCGCGAGCAGACGACGCCGATCTCATCGACCAATCCGCCGCATATCCCTACCAGAGGATTCGTCGATGACAGCTGGATCAAATCCAGCACTGGATTAGAGCTAAAATTGCATGTTGCGGGATCAAACTCAGTCAAATTTGCGGAGGTATTTGAATAGAAAGGTAAAAAGAATGATTAATTGACATTATCTTTCGACCCCCATCCTACTGCATCCAATAAAAAACTTCATAAATATTCTGTTTCTTAAATTTTATATATTTATTGCCTGAGAGACATGAAGCACGCATCCCATGCTGCATAATAGCGTTTCTGACTAATAAAAGCCAAACCATACAAGCAAGCAGACACGGTGTGAGTAGCTGCTGCTGTCTAGAGAGGAAAACTTCAAACAAGTGGAACAAAACATGGAACTGCCCCCTATTCGAAGCCGAGGTTGAAACTTTCGAATTTAAGAGGATTCTCGACGATGAGCACGGTCGAAAAGCTTTTCGAAAAAAAAGTAATCCCTTCAGTTCCAGTCTGCGCATTTGATTAATGAAAGCTGATGTCAAGAAAGGGTAGAAGCCAGGGTAGAGTTCGGTCTGTGTTCGAATACATTGAAGAAAATTAAGCGGAAAAAAAAAGTTTGACAATTCAAGACCAAGAAGTATTCGGATTCGATCACTCGAGAATCTGCAGCCTCAAACCAAAAAAAAAAACTCAAATTCACCCTCTACACCCACGGAATCATTCCCGGACCTGCAAGGAAAACGAGTCGACCTGGCACCCTCACCGACCTGTATCTCCCAGTGGCAGTTGGAGCCCGGCGGGTACGAATCCGGGAACCCGGGCGACGAGATGGTGCCGAAGGAGTCAGTCAGCTCGCCGCCGCATTCCTGCAGGGGCGCAGATGCCGCGAGGAGGGGATCGGCTTGAGGGGGGCTGGCTCTCGCGAGGCTGCTGGCGAAGAGGAGGCAGCTCGCTCCCAGGAGGGCAGCCAGTGCACCGACCTGCACCGTGGGAAAGTTTAATTATTACATATTAATAAATATTAAATATTTATTTTTATTTAGCCTATTGCAGGAGGCTTAGATCTGTTTCATCAGGGTTCGGTTTGTCATCCGGTTGCGTCTGGAGAATGGAGATGCGATCGCCGAGCCTGGGACGATGAGTCTCAATTTCCCATCGTGCCTCATGGTTTGGCAATTGCAGGAAAAATTTTTATTGACATAAATCATGGCCTCTTTGGGTTCGGCCGGTCAGGAAATGAGAAGCGCCAAAGGCTGAATGGCGCTAAAATCCCTTCTATAATTGCTGATCATTGTTACGATCAGATCAGATAGTTACGATAGATAATCACTTTTTCTGAAATCAGCAATGTGTTATCAACCGAGATTGGAAATTAATTATCCAATTAGAACGTTGAGAGGCGGAACGGAACTCACTCCGGTCATTTGTCTGGACTGAAAACGAAACTGGAAAAAAAAAACTAATGCAGACGAGACGGCTATCCCCTGAACTTCCGCTGGACACCAGGAAAGAAACTGGCAACGGCTAGGCAGACGCCGCAGGTGTCGGCCGTCCCGTGTCGGTGCCTCGATGGGTCTCGGGCGGCTTTTCCGCTCGGTCCCGGTGCCCCAGTTCCCACAAGCCGGATCCGCTGCAGTCCTTCGGAAGGATCCACGTTGCGACATCCTTGCTTATTGCCAGTAGGGGGTAGGCAAACAAGTGGGGCGCATTTGGGCATGTCCCACGATAACCCGCGTCTCGCGATAAACCTCTGAAAGAAATGGAATCGCTGGAATAAAAAAAGAAAAGAATGGCGTCGAACAGGAAAACCATTCAGAATCCTAGTCGCAGAGTAGTTGGTGCTCTAATTAGTAATTAGGGCTCACGGCGCATAATTTCATGATTTGATATTGCCTGCGTATGCCATAGATTTTCGTTTAGGAAATCCGTTTCGAAAAATACAAGGTCTTGCAGGTGCTGAGTTTCGTCTGCCGGGATGTGGAATTGCCTTCCTCAGGATGTGGAATTGCTCCCTCCTGCCTTTCTCAAGGCACTGGTTTGTCGATGGGACCCGAAATTAGAACTCGGAATATTACGCTAAAGCCCTGGGGAAATGGAAATGGATATTTCAGGAAGTTTCATTCTTAAGTTCATTTTTCCACTTCCACTTCAATCGCAAAACGAATCTAGAAGACGGAAAGGAGTGCAATAAATGTATAACATCATTCATTCCAATATTGCATCTTTTCCCGACGGCATCGGGCAGCGCAAGAGAGAACACAGAGAAGGGAAGAGCGGATGCCTCCCCATCCGAGCCGCGAAAGCGGAAGACGCTCCACGCTCCCATTTCATCCGATAACGCAGCAACCCTATTTCTATTAACGCGGCGAGGGTGCACACGACATTCCTGCCTCCTAGGGGGCGTGCCTCTCTCCTCGCCGGATGTCCGAACGCCCTTGGGATCAAAATGACGAACTCGTTCTTCTCCGTCGCTGTGGGTCATTTATTAATACTTTCAATCGCATTATATTCAACGTTAATTAAAGTTGAAAATATTTTATTTACTCCGGAAGTCAGAGCCTATGCTAAAAATTAGTACGAATTGAGCGTAAAATCACTGTATTAGATTCTCCCAAGCTGTGAAACGAGCATGGACACGCCCTACCAGGAAGACTTGCTGCGCGGAGTGTAAAACTTTGAATATTCCGCGTTATTCAAGCGGTCCGTGGAAGATGGAAACACTGCTAGACGATATCGAGGTTAGTGCGCCAAAAAAGTGCGCCAAACTCATCGATAGAGAATTATTAGTGCTCATCAAAGGTCCTGCGCAGAGTTCATTGAAGTCATCTTGGGGTCCGGCTCCATCGAAGCTCATCTGGAACAGCAGTGCTGTAAAGGTCGATCTTCAGACTCTGTCGAAAACTTTCTGCGAAGCTGAGAATGCATTTTTAAGTCGATTCGGCTTGATGTATGCGATGAGCGAGTTCAACCGAAATGCGGTGGAAATTACTGGAACTTCGACCGTGGAGTGATCGATGAGCTAATCGAAGTCGTCCAGGAAAATCCAGCAGTCCCTTTAGGTGAAATGGCAACTACGAAACCGCGCTCCAGACTCCCCGAAGAGCCGCAAATAGGGTACAGTAGCAAAAGCACTGGTAATTGCAGATGCTTTCCTTGTGATAGATGGGCCAAAACAGAGAAATCTTCCTTGTATTATTGAAGATGGGAAGGAATATGCGAGAGGGATGCTGGATGAAGGTTTGCATTCAGGAATCAATCAAGAAATACCTCTTTCTGTGATGGCATGACTTATCCGATATTAGAAAATCATTTCACCTACAAAGGCGTTGGGATGCTTTCGTTGCATCTCGATGAAACCGGCCGTGTGGACCCGAAGATCCCAAGGGCGTTCGGACATCCGGCGAGGAGAGAGGCACGTGCCCGAGGAGGCAGGAATGTCGTGTGCACCCTCGCCGCGTCCGCAGAAATAGGGTTGCTGCGTTATCGGATGAAATGGGAGCGAGGAGCGTCTTCCGCTTTTCAGGAATTCTTTGAGGAGCTCCTGAGACACGTACACATGACTCGGCCACCCGGTGAACCGATTTATGTCATATATATAATGCCAGTTTCTCGAATCCGATACAACACGAGCCGGACCTTTCCGAAACTCAGAGAGGACTGCGAAGACGAGAACAAAGCTTGCAGCCATGTTGGGCAGAGACGCTGCTCGAGATAGGTAGGTAGGTAATTAGGTAGGTAGATGGGAGAGAAGAAGCAGCTGGGCTCATAGCCCAACAGAAACCCGTGGCTTCGCTTTGCACGAACTCACTCGACTAGAAGCCAAAGAGATGGCTGGAATCGCTTTTAGAGCGATTCCAGCAAGAACGGTTCAAATAATCCATTCTCAGAATGTTCCAGGACGTGAAGCGAATTTCCCTACGGAACACCATAACGTTAAAAGAAAGCTTCATCCTTCCAGAGAAGAACATCTTGGAATCGACCTTTCCGTTACTTTCATCGCACAGTCTGTTTCGAGTTGAAGGATCCTCCCGTCATCCTCCGAGCCGGAGTTTTCAGGAGACTCCAATTCCTGAGTTGCCTCTTTAGACCGATTTTTTCAGAAATTCGAATGTCTCCTACTGTGGTCTGTGAAGAGAGATCGGGAACCGTGCGGAAAGCGGTGCGGACTGAATCCAGATGCATCAGGCATCGACACGCTACAGCGGATACTTTGGCGTCATCTGGCGTCCGTTTTGCGGAACTTTGTACCCTCCACTCCCAGATGGATTATCGCTTGAAGCAAGGCGTCTCTTCGGCCTTCAACGAAAGTCCTTGAATAATCGGCACCTTGACCGAGCGACCGACCAGAATCTCTAAAAACTCATGTTGAACGTCCTCGAGAACGGTCCCGTGTGACTCGGGAACCGACGGTTGACCATCGGTCACGTGACTTCGACCTGTCAACCATAGAGTGCATATAGATGTCTCTGGAGAAGCCTTCGCTGCCTCGAGTCTTACAAGTGCTTCCGCCATCTCGATAAGGTCTCGCACGTGGGAATGAATAGCGTGATCGGTTGGGTCCCGGCAAGGAGGTCCCCAGGCATATAGCTCGAGGCAAGTTGCCTCTTTTGCCCTCCCCCTCTCCATGTGTCTGCTATGAACTCCTTGCTCGCGTGACTTCGGTAAGATGGCGGCCGCACCTAGAAGGGTGCAGCGCCTTGCGCCAGAGGGGAGGCCCCTCTATACACTCTCTATGGTCACAGCACGAAAGAAGGAAAAACGGCAGGAAAAGAGAATTGCAAAAATTTGAACCGCAACACCTGAAGGAAAATGCAGAATATCTGCCGCGGATATGCGCCGGTTCCCACCCTGACAGATCGTCCTCCGGATCCTCCGGATTGCGACACCCCTTATCGACACCCCTTATCGTCTGGCATGGACTGCGATCACGTGCATTTTCGTCTGCCGACGCGTTCCCTCTCAATTCAAAACGAAAACTTTCGGATCTTTCTCATCCTCCTGTTACGAAGGCACGGCACATCCAGGAAGCACGGCACATCCAGGAAGCACGGCAAATTCCAGGAAGCGCGGCACATCCAGGAAGCACGGCAAATTCCAGGAAGCGCGGCACATCCAGGAAGCACGGCACATCCAGGAAGCGCATGCGGCGATGGCACAGGTCAACGCCCCTCTCCGTGCGACTCCTTTCCCTTTGACTCACCTTTTCAGTCGGAACGTCTCACAGACATTTCGACCCCCTTTCTTGGAGGCTGAGCTGCATTTAGTTTTCATTTAGTTTCATATTTTTTATTCCACATTTTAGCATATTCCAACCTTTTCATTTCAATTTTCCTTTTCATCTACATCTTGAATTTTTCTTCAACTTCAGGTCAATGTGCGTTTTTATTGCGTTTATGAGGTAAAGTATGAAGTGAAATTCTGAATTAGAAAATAACGTGAATTTATGTGCATTTCTCCAACACAATTTATTTTAAATATTAAAATCCAATTTTAATACTCGAAGATACGCTGCGATTTTGCGCTTTCAGGAAAATCGGCGCCGTTTGCTCACTACGGACATCTGCTGGAGAATGGCAGAAACTCTAGTGTTCTCCGTCGAGACTAGACGGCAGGGAGGTCGAGGTCGAGGCGCCCCGCCGAAGCCGAAACGGGATTTCCGCGTCGCCGAGATCGCGGAATCGGCGATCGAAGATCCGCCTTTCTCTTCCGCATCGCGATGAGTTTTGAAACTGAATTTCCCAGTTCATTAAAATTAGCCGGAAACGCTGGCAACCAGGACATTCGGCTCCTTCGTCCTTCATTCGTTTCTGAATCCGATTTTTCCTTCCACGAACTTGAAAAGGAGGGAAAGACATGGTGGCGAAAATGGCATGCGAGTCTAATGGCATGAGTGCTTAATGGCATGAGTGCTTAATGGCATGAGGTTAAGCCCTTTTTTCTCGAGCTCCCTCCCGTGCGATGGCATCATCTCCACCCGACCTTTGCCATTGATTGCGCGCGTTTTTTTTTTTTTCAAATCTCATGCTTCCGCAACGAACGGCGAGACGGCGGAAAGCGGCGGAATGTCGGCCGTTTCCAACCGTGAACTTGAGTCGAAAGGGTGGGGAATCGTGCGTGAAAAGGGGCCGTTTTCCCGTCCTTTCATCGAGACGACCGAGAAAATCCTCCACAAAAGGGCGTGGGAGGCAGATGCACGGGGAAAGCTTCTCGAAACACACAGAGAGTATCCACCGAGTGCAAGGTATCGGGGTTTGCCCCCCCCCCCCCCTAGGGGACATTTGAAATTTATTTGCACGACAGACTTGAAAAAGCTTGAACACTTTCAGCTCTGATTTAAATGTAAAAAAAAACCTCGCAAACATATTCCATTTCCTTGAACAGACTAACGTACATTCTTGGGAAAGGGGGAGCGATTTTCCTATTAAAAAAAAAAGAGTAAAATCGCTAACTCCAAATTCACTCCCCTTTCACTCTGGGAAAGGAGCGAATTTGCTCCATCACCAAGGAGTAACGTTACTCTCCTCCTCCATGAGTAAAACCGCTCCCCTCAGAAAGAGATTGGGATGTCATGCAAATACGCAAATCCTCATTTATACTTTTTGTCGCTTTCGCACAGTGCAGGCATTGACCTACCTTTCACGGTACCGATTACAGTACGTGTCAGAAGATGGAGCACCTTTTACGGTACCATGAAGTGTCCGCGACATCAGTCCTTCATTTCCTCATTCTCTCATCAAGTCGAAGAAGCGGTAGGGGTCGAGTTCATGGACGCCCCCTTTGTATGAGTATCCCCCTTTTCTGAGTTTCGAAAGGTTTCTCGTCAGGAATATGAGCTTGTTTATGGCATGGGCTCTATGAATCTGTCTTGAATATGTGAATAACAAATGATGGAAATTCCGTGTTTATTGATTCCCATAATGAAACCAGGCGAGACACATGTCGAGATCCAAAACAATCCTGCAAGGGACGATTCCAGTGAAAGAGAGGAGGGAACATTTGTGTACTGTGCGAAAAGCAAGACCCTTACCCCCATCTAGTGGCCAGGCGAAGAACATCAAGATGTTCACTTCAATACGAGCGATGAGGGAGCATTTGGTGAGTAAAAAAAGAGTACATTTGAAATAGCTTACATAGTGCTCAGTTTTTACTTCCTAAAAGCTCGGAGTTTTCTAAGAGTGTAGAACAAGTTCCACGTTCTCAAAAGGAAGTTTAGTTCGCACAAAGAAACAGGAAAAATGTCACCAGAAGGGATGGCTCAGGGCAGCTTCTTGCAGACGAACGGCAGGGGTACATGCATACCTTGATCGTCCCAGGACGAAGTGGAGGCGGCGGCGCAGTCCCCGCCGCTTGCGGTGGGATGGCCCGCCTCCCACCGGTCCACGTTCCACGGGGATCCGTCCACCCATTCCCAGTCGCCGGAGACTGGACGCTGAAGTCCGATCCAGATCTCGTTGCTTTCTGGAGGAGTTATGCCTTCAAAAAAGTAAGCCAACGGATCCTGTTCTTCTACTAGTATAACGAGAATATCAGTTTCAGGAAATTCCAGACAATAACTCCTCGCTTCCTGGAAATTGAACGATCGCGGCGAGACGTGGAAACATACGAGATCACCATAACATCTCCATTCCCCGCTATGAGCTTCAAGGGACTTGCACACCACCGGTTTGTTTTCTGAGCAATCGCGGTTCACCCAGCGATCCGGAGCCAGGTGGAGCCCACACGTATAATTGATCAATACAGAGCATTTAAGGGGGGATTGTTCAACCGGCTGCCACAAATTGTCGTAGTCGGCGGGCGAGCCGTCCACGAACTCGAAGCTGTATGGAACGTCTCCCTCGCTTATCATGCCAATGGCTCCAATTCGAAGCGTCCCTTTCCTCGAGTGCCGCTGGACGAAGAGCTGCTCCTCCCGTGAGTGGATGCTAGCCAGTTGGGCGTTCCTGGCCTCGCAGTCTGCCTGGGAATCCGTGAAGTTCATGGCCACTTCGGAGAAGAAATAGCAATGCTCTCCAAACTCTGCCCAACCATCTTCGCATTTCGAAACGTTGACGTAAGTCAGCCTGAATCCGAATCCGCGTTCGTCGTCGGCGTCGGAGACGAAGTTGATGTAGAGGACGTTCCCGACCGATTCGATGATCTTGGGATGATCTTGGCCGCACAAGATGAAAGAGTCTCCCTCGGGATCCGTCACAGTAAGGTAATCGCCCGGAAAGCAATCGACTGAACTCTCCAGGAAAAAATCGTCGAAACTCAGGTAGATCTTTCGAGTCGGTGGGGCCTAGGACGAGGAAAAAGGAGTTCATGATTATATTCCCTGTTTGGCGAATGCATTGCGAAATCACAGCTGATTGCATAAAGCGTGCCATTGCACACAAGCGTGTTTCAAGTGCAGCTCAAAATAGCTGATGCATCCGTTTGGTCCACTTTTTCAGCGCTAATGAACGAGATCCCACTCCCGGCTGTGGGTACACTTTCTTAACAGTAGCTTTCCTTAGCAAACGTCCACCTCCCAGGAAGATTTGGCACCAAGTGGACAATTCCTTTTGGTGGAAATTCACCAATTGAAGGGATTTTCAACAGGTTGCAAAGCCACACAAGAGAAACAACTCCACCTGATTCCAAATACACATTAGGGAAGGTCAGGTAAGTTTCCTACTAGTGGGACATCCACTTCGTTCCAAATCCGCCTGCCGCTCAGACCTGGTGGATGCAGGTGGACGACTTCTTAGGGTGAGTGCATAGGAGAGAATAAGCTATGCAGGAGTATGAACATTTTTGCCAGCTGTGTATACTGTACGCTCTGATTGCGAAAAGGGTTGAACAACCTATTGAAATAGCTGGTTCAAGCTATACAAGAAGAAGAAAGAAATGATGTCACTGAAAATGTCACTGATCTTGAAACTTTAAAGTGAGAAATCCCACTAGTCTACAGGAACCATCTGCTCTTTCTCGCTCTGAAGAACAAGATTCATGCTTCCGCGAGCAATGTGTTACTCTTAACAAATGGCACTTTCCAGGCTCTGTAAAAACCACCTTCCTCGAAAGAATCTCGGGTGACAGTTAGCACACATTTCCTCACATATCACACGTGGGGACTCCTACATAACACGAAAAATTATGAACATGCCGTCGGTCCGCTCATCCCCCATGAGCGACAAACCGGAACACTGTTGAAACCTCTGGTTTTCCTGCTCTCGTCCTTCCCAGCCACCAGCGGAAGTATCCACAATTGACCCCAACCAATCAGAAACCCTACGAGCAGACGACGCCGACCTCAACCGCCAATCCGGCCCCGACCCCGAGCTGACGAATCCTCCATTTCTCATCGCCATGGGGGTGGACCCAACCCGCTCGCCATTCGCCTGAGCGACGCCGTCCCGGTGAAGTCGCGCTGAATAGTTCAGCACGAATGGGATGCCCCTCTCTGCCGATCCCGATTTTGAATACGCGGCGACGTGACCGCGCATGCGGCCCAGACGGGAAAGAAGTTAGACCTGCTTTCCCGTCTGGGAAAGCCTTGGGAAGCCTTGACCTACTTCTATCTGAATACAAGACCTATTGACAGCGAGGGACTTGCCGTTATTATTTTTTTAGATGAGTAGTTCAACCAGTTTTCGCAGGTCAAAGCGTCACGTGAGCTGCCAAATCGCATCCCACCCTCAGAAGCAAGCTCAGAAGCTGTGAGTTGCTGAGTAATCTGGATATCTTACCGACCTTTGCAAGACCATACCAACGATTTTGCAAATGAGCATTAGGTCGACTTCGCCTAGATGAATTTTATGCAGCATTAGCCTTGGATAGATTCGGGCTTCTGGGAACCCTCAAAAAGAATTATCGTTAATCCAGGCATTAGAAGGCATCTAATTCACCCTCTAATCCAGGCATTAGAAGGCATCTAATTCACCCTCTAATCCAGGCATTAGATGGCGCGTTGGAGATGAGAACCCTGGCTGCTATCAAGAGCAATTTGTCCGGTCCTTTGTAAAAATGTCAATAACGACAGCATCCCCACCTACCTGTATTTCCCAGTGGCAGTTGGAGCCCGGCGGGTAGGGATCCGGGTACCGGGGCGACGCGATGGAGCCGAAGGGGTCCGTCAGCTCGCCGCCGCACTCCTGTGCCGATGCTCCGAGGAGGCAGCCGACTCCGAGGAGGAAGACGGCCGATGCGACGACCTGTTCCGGGGGAAATTTCAATGTGGCGTCAACTGTAAATTGGCGTGGATCTTCTCGGTATCACGAACGGAGTGAACAAGTTGGTTTTTTTATTTTTGATGCGTCGCTCCAATGACTCTTGGTAATAAATTGGGAATAATCACTTACCTAATTAATTAACGCAATTAATAATTGCAGAATTTGAAGCAGAATCTCATGCCACATTGATGAAATAAATTTTGAAGTTTAGGTCAAGGGATCGATTGCGTTTGAGGCACTTGGCCAAAAATGGCCAAAAATGGCCGAAACGGCTGAACGATCGATTGGGACGAACTCACTCTGGCCATCGAGAAGGTTCAAGCGAAATCTCGAAAAAAAAACTCGAAACAGCAATGCCCGCAAAAAAAAGTTGCTGTTTTATGCTTAACACCAGGGAAGGAAATGGCGATGCGAATAAGGCGCGGATTCATCGCACCTGGGCTTAAAAAGGAGAAAAAATTTTTTTTTTCGCCATAATGTTCCAGTTCCCAGAACTGATAAAAATCCGGATTCGCTTGAAAAGTGAATCACCTTTCAGATTTTTCCAGGAAATGGCATTAAGTTGCTTTAAGCAACTTAAAGCGCATTTTTGACCATCTAAATTTTTTTCATTCCGAAATTGCGGGAAATTTTTCCAGGATTTCCAATCGTTTCACGTTGTCTGATTCTTAATGATGAATTTTCTGATGAATGGCATTAATTAACATTCTCATCATGCTCATGCACCTGTTACCGTGGCAGTTACCGTGGTAGTTACCGGTGTAAGCGGGTTAATTTTGCGTCGACATTATGAAAATATTTTCATGGTGTCCTCGGAGCCACAGGGCGTCACTAGAGGGATGTCACCTGCGTCACTAGAGGGATGTCACCTGCGTCACGAGAGGGATGTCACCGGCGTCACGAGAGGGATGTCACCGGCGTCACGGGGAGACTGGAGTTCACCAGTCAAATTTCCCATCGGAATTGCTTTTTTTTTGTTTCTCTATCTATATTCGGAATTGAGCAATGAGAGTTTTTCCGTTCTGAGTCATACCAGGAAAATGCTCTCATCTCATTTACGTATGAGAATCGCATGAGCCGGTCGGCTGACGCGAACGTCATTCGCTCAGCTCAGCTTATTAATGAAATTCATTTGCATTTCGAGGAATCGGTCTGAAAATTCTCTTGGATGAGGTCTGCAGGAGTCAATTAATTACTTAATTAATTTTTTCCCGGTTTTTCTCCAGCGGGTAGACTCCCAGGACGGAATTCCACCTGGGATGCGTCGAAATTGATCCACCTGAAGTGAAGAAATTCCGAGAGGACAAAGGGACTTCCGCTTGTAATTGTCACCGATTAAAAATTCACTTCAAATTTTTTTTGGTGCGGCATTAATCCACTCTTTACCTGAAGTGCTTGAGCCAGCTGCGCATTCTCTGCAATGGTAAGCGAAGGTTTTATTTCCTCTCAATTTGAACTCGGGCATCATTTTCCTCTGTTAAAAATGAAGCAAATTACTTGAATTAATCCTTCTCCCCCCCGCATCAATTTTTTGTTCATTAGGAAAAAAAATCGAAGTTTCGTGCTACAACATGGATGTTGTGCAGTGATTTTACTTTTCACCCTGTTGACCTCTGCGACGTCAACCGCAAAATCTCGGCCAGTCGACAAACGCTTTAGTGCGGGCACAAAGTCAAATTTCGGGTTTATTCGGGATCCGTGCGACCGTCGGCGTCCCTGCACGGCCGAGGTGTCTCGGGGTCCCAGTCGAAAAATTTTCGTCGGGCCATCGATGGCATGTGGTTGGTTTGAGTCGGCTTACGGTCGGGCGTGTCCCGTTGTCCCTTCGTCGAGCCAACTTTGGGTCGTTGTTGGGAAACCGCACGTGCCCCAACCAACTTCCCACAGTGGTGAATATATATAGAAAAAAAAAGATAAACCACACCTACTGCATTATGCATCTTGGAGACATAAGAATGCATCCCTTGGTGCCATGCAGCTCTAGCAGATGTCAACCACGTTCAGTCGTTATCAACCGTGACCGTGAGTTGAAAGGGTGGGAAATGGCGTGTGAATGTGGCATCTTCCCCCCCTTTCTTCCAAATGACAGAGAAAATCCTCTCCAAGAAGGCGTGAGAGGGGGAAAGGGCAAAGGGAAAGCTGCCGATCCAAATACGTGGAAAGAGAATCCCAAACAATAAGACACTCCAAATGGCGTAATTGAAAGAATATGTCGTTGGCCCGGAAATTGTGGAGACTATTAGCCCGAAAACATTGAGAGAAAATTACTCCAATAAGGTGACACACCCTTGAAACGGCGCACACTTGAAATGGCGCACGCTTGAAACAAGGCACCCTTGAAACGGCGCAACCTTGAAATGGCGCACGCTTGAAACAAAGCACCCTTGATACGGTCCACCCTTGAAATGGCGCATCCTTGAGAGCAGGAAATGAAGGGGGTGATGGCGAGAGAAGCATGGAGGGTGAGCGCCACTCTCGGATCCGAGGGAGCCCGAATCCCTTTCGTCCCGACGCATATAACCTGACGACTAAGGAGTCTTTCCAGCTGAAGTGGTCAAGGGTGGTTAAGCTCGTGACTCCGATTTACCGGAAAAAGTTATGCATGGTAGCCTCTAAGAATTTCGGAAAATATGAACATATCAGGGATAAACGCGAGAAATACGGACCCAAACTTACAGCCAAAGAGGAAATGTGACCTTTGGGATCAAATCTCTCTCTTTGGTTCTGGGTGGGCTAGGAAAGCGTTTTTGTACTCTGATGAAAGCTGAGGCAATGTAGAATCTGATTTTTTAATTTATATTCTGGTATATCAATGAAATAACCAGTTCCAATTTCTCAAAAATGGTAAATTTTACAAATTTTCGTACACAAATTTGGAGCACTGAGAAGCCAATTCACATAAAAAGCATCTGGAACCTTTCAAATGGCAATAGAAACAGCTAAACGTCAGCTTCCAATTCAGCTTGAAACGTGCAGAAATAAAATTTGAAGAGTCCAACATCGATTTTCATCAAACTCGTATTCCCGACTTCAAAGAAGAAGAGTGCCATGAGGCTCCGAAGTCAGAGGGAGCTTGGACGGCAAGAGAGGACGAAAGCGAGGCGGGAGACCGGCCGGGAATGGAACCCGGTGCATCCCGATCGTCAGACGGGTGAGATGCCGTTGCACCACCGAAGCCGGACGAGCGCTCCGTGCCATCCTTATCGCAACGCGAGCATGATATTTATGTCGTCTATAACCTTATTCTAAGGATATTACCCATGCTGTTGTAAACAGTGGCATCTGTGTTTTTTTATTATCTTTCAGCTCGGCGAAATTCTCACTTAAAGGATTCAAATGACTAGCGATCGGAATCCTGGTGAAAAAGCAGGCCTGGACATATCCTACTTTTACCTCTGAGCATCTCTCGTTCTATTATATGCATATCACAAACAATGAAATTATTATTATCTGACGTGTTCATGGATTTCTACAGTTTATCCGACTTCCATGGCACATGCATGTCCGGACATTTCGAAAGAATCAGACTTTACCTTGGAGTCACGTTCCTTCCAAAGGGTCATATGGTTCTCACAAAACCAGCTGTATGTCACATTCCAGAACTCCCTAGTTCGTGGACTTTAATCATTCGAGTGAAAATCTGCAGGAAGTTTTGAGACTTGTGTGTTAAATATTAAGCAAATTAAATAAGAGGAAAATGAAGTGAGCTTAAAACCATTTCAAGTGTTTTCTCCATCACCGAGAAACCGCTCTGAAAGCGCACACCCGTTAAAGGGTTCTCGTCCCAACTAATATTTTTTTTTGTTGTTGTACCATAGGATTGACAGAGAAATAGAGACTGGCAGGAGGAAATCCTGGTATCAGCTGATAAGGAGCACTCCGTCCATCGCGCAGTACTTCATACCGCTGGAATCCCCTCAATTACTTTCAAGGTACTCAAGATATGGAGAAATCGGAGGGATAAGTCAGTCGTTCTCCATTCGTTTCTCACAGCAAAAATCTAAAGTGAGCATTTTTCATCACTATTTCACTTCGCAATCCTTGGATCGCGATTAAAGGGTACTCGTCCCAACTAATATTTTTTGTTGTTGTACCATAGGCTTGAATGAGAGAAATAAAGACTGGAAGGAGGAAATCCTGCTATCAACTGAAGAGAAGCACTCAGTCCATCGCGCAGTACCTCATACCGCTGGAATTCCCTCATCTAATCAAGGTACTCAAGATATGGAGAAGTTGGAGGAATAAGTCTGCCGTTCTCCATTCGTTTCCCATGGAAAATCATAAGTGAACATTTTTCAACGTTACCGTTCTTCAATCGCAATCCTCGAATAGCGTATGTTTTCTCACATCCTGTCCTCCCTGTTGCATCGTTACGATCTTTAGGTCGATTGTAAACTTTTCGAAAATCAATGGGCCATTAAATTTCTACAACCCCTTCAGGCGACAAAATTCAACCGTCCCGTGTTCCTCTCTGAGAACATCGACGTGATTGAAATTTGGCATACTTCCTTCTCTCTCAACACAGAATCAATCTGGCAAATTTGAACCTCCATCTCCCCGGGTTTGTTGAGATCACTGAACCTCGCTTTTGGGAGATGTGAAAGTCTATCCGGTATTCCCCCCCCCCCGGGTAGCCGCTCTTGGGAAGTTTTTGGAGGAATGAGACCAACCAAACGAAAGATATTGACCTGGATGTGACAAAAAGTCTTCCTTTTTTTCGTTTCTGAGAAAGGACTGCATCTGAGAAAGAACTGGGTCTCCAACATACAGGAGATTTCGAAACGAAAGAGAGAACGGGAAGAAGAAGAAATGTTTCGGCCGACTCAGGTTTCTCCTGCCCCATCATCTGGAGATCAGGATTTTACAGTCGTGAGTTTTGCAGTCGTTACTTTAAAAGCGTATTAATGAGAAAGACAAAATATCCGTGATACATTTTACTCAAAGTATTTGTTTAACCACCTAAACACCCACTCAAAAAGGCCGCTATAGATATCGCTTTAGGCAAGAGATAGGAAAATACCTCCTCCTATGCATGCTATGTCTATGGTGGAATTTCCTTCAAAGTTTAAAAGAGACGCAGAATTTTTTGAAAATTTGCTTTCTTCAATGTAGAACCGTTTTCAGACGACGCAGTCCATACTAAGTATTGAATTAACGATATCTCATAATTATTGAATACAAGATGAAGATTATGAAAATGTACATGAATTTTGCAACAAGGTTAACGAATTAGACAATTTCTAGTTTCCAGAATCATAAATTTTTTCTCTATCGAAATGATAAAAATCAGACGAAAATGGCGGCAATACGCGATTTTTGTCACACTTGTCAGTGTGGCCCATTGATTATTGATTATGATATTCTGGTTCTGAGTGCCTTTCCATGTATTATTCATTATGTTATACACTTATCACTAAAAAATGCCATCACACAATCCAAAACTAGGTCCATAAAACTAATCCCATAATCCAATCCTTTACCAAATTCAAATCCCTTTCATGCAATATTGATAAATTAACTGCATGTAAATTGTTCCAACATGGAATTTATCAACCTTGAAAAATGGGAATATACAATTATTGTGTACTAGTGTAAAGTAATACTTTATAATTTCTTCTAATGTTCAAACTTTCCTACAAAATTTCCAGTTTAACACAAAATGCTGACTGTGTGGATCTTGGGGACAAAATGGAAGTCGGGATACTTGTTAACCTGTGCAATTCTCACAAACATGACACGGTTAAAATTGTTCAATTGAATCTCTACATCCAAAGTTCGTCCTAGTTTTGCGCCATTACATTTTATTGTCACAAACGGGAAAATTTGTCCTTGAAATTAAGAATATAGGAAAATTTTTCATTTTCATTTTCAAAAAATGCACTTGTCTTTTTAAAGTGAATGAATACCATACAATTTCCATCAGCGAAAGGGTGTGAAATATAGGTTTGAGAAAACTTAGGGGTTGCTTTAGGAAAAGATAGCTAGAATATATTTGATGGCTCAGAAGTATTAGGGTGTCCATTCATTCTTATGAATTTTGTAAATTTTCTTCAATGATTCAGCATACTCCTTGGTCACATGGCATGAAGTTAATACAAGTGTAGGCCACTGTCAATAAATTGACCCCACAATTGGAACATTCTTATCAATACCCACGATAAATTCTGATGTGAATGAATTATTCGTTTTCTACCCAAAGTGCTGATGCTTTCTTGTCACCTTGATCCTTCTATGCTGGTAATTATGGGAGTTGAAAACAGAATAGTTTTCAACTACTGTGTTTTAACAGAGCCAAGGAGATGGAAGGACTTTTATCTTACATTTTATCATCTCAAATGAGGTTACCTGCGAAAGTGGAGGACTTGAGGATTGGAGAATTTTACCCTTTGGGAGAAATGAATCACATTTTAATGCAACTCAATCTTTTTAAAACGATCTGTTTTGAAATTATTTTCTAATTTTTCTATATGTAGAGTGAATTGGAGCGGAAGCGGACACTGGCTCAGATTAAGCAAAATTGCAAAGGCATTGACGGTTTTATCTATGAGCTCCCACGGAAGAAGGTGATGGAAGATAAAAAGAATCGATTAGCCAAATATGAGATCGGGGAAAGAGGATCCGAAGACGGGCTGGGGAAGGTGTTAATGCTCCTCGGAGGCACAGGAACAGGTTCTGCCCATCTCATTCTGAGATATTACTGGTTTTATTGTGTATGAACTCCAGTCAAAAGCATTCCCTCTCCCTCCCTATTAGGAAAGAGTACCTTCATCGACGCGATGGTGAATTACGTGTACGGAGTGAAGTGGGAAGACGACTTTCGTTTCAAAGTGATTGTGGAAGAACACGAAAGTGGAGGAAGTCAAGCTCATAGTCAGACGCAATGGATCACAGTGTACACCCTACACAGGCAGCCGGGCTTTGCTATGCCTTATACCTTGACTGTTATCGATACCCCTGGGTTTGGACAAACAAATGGGATCATGGCCGATGAAGAATTGAGGGACCAGATCCGAGAATTCTTCTCCAATGTTGGGAACGTTGGTGTGGATCAACTTCATGGTATCGGCTTCGTCGTTCCGGCTACTATGGCCAAACTCTCGGAAACACAAAGGTACCTATTTGATTCCATGATGTCAGTGTTTGGAAGGGATATGGAAGGCAATATTTACGTACTAGCAACATTCGCGGACTTCCAAGGTCTTCCAGTCTTAGAAGCCCTCAAAGATGGAGACATCCCTTATCGAACCTATTACAAGTTCAATTATGGTTCTCACTTCGTTTGTCCTGATCACTACGACGCTGATTTTAATCAGATTTACTGGGAAATGAACATGAAATTTATGCACACATTTTTCAAAGACTTTCAGAAGTCGAAATCAGTCAGTCTGATGCTGACAAACAAAGTTTTATTGGAGCGACGACGCCTACAGACAGCTCTACGTGATATACAGCCACAAATCATTGCTGGTGAGAGATCATAAAAAATATATTCTGGTAATAGCAAAAGACATGGATTAAGCTAAAGTCCCTTGTTAATTTAAAATTGTATTCAGTGTGTTTAATAATAATAATAATAATAGGTCCACATGCGCAAAAAAACGAAAGGAGAGTTAGGCAAGCGCCATACCGTTGGGATGATGTAACACGATCCCTTCATGTGGTGAAGAGTGTTTCCTCTCGCAATGGATGAGTCTCTCGTGGCATCTTTACCAAGGGTTTAGTCATTTTACCATATTAGCATGGCAAACATGAATTTCTTCCATTGGCAATAGCAACATAGCCAACTTCACATGGCAATTCCACCAATCTGCCCCTCGCCTCTTTATTGCCTCCCGGCGCTAAAGATCTCAGGTGAATTGCATGAAATTGACTTTACCCTAACGGAGCTTTAAACCTCCTTCAGACCTCCTTTTGCTCTGTTAAAGGAGGTTTAAATCTACGTTAGGTTAATATCAATTACATGCAATCTCCCCCTCATCCCCGTCGTTCTTTTAGGTCGACCACATGGTCACCGAATTGACTTATGCTCTCTGTGTGACTTTGAACTAATAACTTCAACGTCATCCTAACTTGTTATCTCACACAAAAATATTGATAGTTTTACGTGACACCGTCTTTTTTCTACGGATGAGACAATAATGTAAGGAAATAAAGTTATGGTTACTATTCCAAAAGTCACGCTCATTGGCAATTTAATTTACCTTTTTGGTAATGGTTAATTTACCTTTGAAAGCTTCCCGTTAACACTTCTGAGATTTAGCGCCCCATGATTTCAGTAGACTCATTCAGACAATTGTTTACTACAAATGAATTAAAATATTATACCAGTGTCACGGAGGTCCAAGATTTCCAAACAGAAAAAATGAACAGGTATATATAGCAATACTAGCGAGTTTGTTTGCCCTTCGGGCAAACGAACTCGATGTGGTCGCGCCTTCGGCGCTTCATAACCATGGATAGTGATGAATTCATTCATTTTTTTGTGAAATGGGAAACACGTTTTAAAGTACGTCCCAATTGATATATGTGACATATGGGGCCGAAAGACTTCATTTTTATCAAAATCATTACTTCCATCATTCTATGTGTGCCTAACTTTAAGTCTTTTCAAGTCTCTCTTTTCGTAAGGGTGGAAAATAAATTTTGAAATTCTTCCCTCCAGTAATCTACGCTAAGGACACATATTTCAAAAGTAGGATTTTTCCTGCACTCAGCCATTAAACACATACTTCTGAGGGAAGATTATATTTTTCGTCTCTGTTTCGTTGGATCAAAAAAAATTAAGGAAAATTAGACTGAAAAATGTGCCCGGATGGGTTTTAGAGAAACTTTTCTCTCATGTCAACTCAGGGAACTGAGCCAGCCAGTTTCACCCTCATACGCTTCCCCTTTTTTCTGGAGGAAAAAAATGCATTTGGAAAAGAGAATCACCCAAAAGCTGTGCTCTGAGGAGACGCACAAAAAAGTTTAATTTTTTCTTAAATCAACATCACCCTCGTAATGGGTGCGCCAGCTACTTTTCTATTTCTACCCGATTCGGTAGGATATGAAAAATTATTTGAAAACCTAACATCCCCAAGAAATATGAACCCCCCCAATTTTTTTTTTTTAATTTGACGTTTAACATTTGACCTCAGTGTGTCAACGGTCACGTTTCATGTCAAGTTTCAGCTTTTCATGTGTCTCCATTTGAAGCAAAGAGAACTATTTGAAAATATGTTCCCCGAAAGGTTTGCCCCTATGGCATGCATGACCAAAGTTGAACTTTTCCTGAACTCAGCATGTGAAGCTACTTATGACACTCAGTCAGCTACTCACGAACCTCCAAATATAATAAAAGTAGACTTTCTTCTCTACTCAGCTATCCATCAGGTATTTATTTGCCAAGTTTAAACTTTCTAGCGCCCTCTGTTTTGCTGGATCAGAAAATTCGGGGAAAAACGCATTTTTTAAATAATAAGCCAAATTGTTTTTTCAAAACATCGCACTTCGAAAAAATTCCCTCAGGGGATATATCGAGACTTAAAATTTTTATTTAACTCCTTGTCTCATTAGTCACATTCAAGCAAAGTTTTAATTTTCCATGTTCATCATTTTAACTGATGCAAAAAATTAGCGGAAAACATCTCTCTTTTAAAATAGTGCCCCCAGGGCATTTACTTCCAGAGTGTGAATTTTTTGTAGCATCCCAATAGGTAGTTATATACCAAGTTTCATCATTCCACACCAGCTCAATACGCTAGGACAAAAAAAATTCTTAAAAATGTTGGCACCAAAAAATATCCCCGCCGGGCATGGATCTGAAATTTTGCATTTTTCATGAAATCATCTCGTAAGGCACCTCCATGCCAGGTTTCAGTATTCTATGTCTCTCCGTTTTACTCAAGCAAAAATAATGTTTATGGAGGGGGAATGAGTAACGAGACATGGAAGGCAAAAAAAAAGCCAAGGAATGGCCGGGAATGGAACACTGCCCTTCTGATTGCCAGTCCGATATGCTGCTGCAACACCACAGAACCCCGCACATCTAGTTATCTTTCTGAATGCCATACTCATCTGTCACAAAATATATTGAAGAAAAACGTTTCCACAAAAAATTTGTACCCCCAGGGCACGTACCTCCAAAGGATTTTTTCTGAACTCTGCATCTCAAAAGGTACACGTGTACCAATTTTTAGATTTCTAACCTTTCTGGAACATAGTTAGAATTAGCGTCAGTCAGTCACGATCGTCAATATATATTTGATGTAGGAATGAAAATATAAAAATATATCCTCATGTGAAACGTCAGAAGGCGAAAATGAGCGGGCAACACGATGACGTAACCCGACAATAACTTCAATAACTTACTGTTAAATTTTTCAAGAAAAACCTAACATTTTGCAATTCTACTGTCTGCCCTGTTTCATCTATTGATTTCCTTGCAAATTTTGATTTAAATCTGCCCTAATCCTTGGCTAATATTATTCAAGATACAAGATCATTCAATTCATGATTGCGGGATGCATTCATTTTTCGATACAGGCTTGGGAAAGTTGGACCAACTTATAAAAGAACATGCAGTTCTGGAAGAATACGGATCGATATTTGACGCAAGCGAGAACATTACATCCACCTTCAAGCCCTCAGAAAATAAAAAAGTGAACCTAAGCCCTGACGAATGGGCCGTGAATTGCCTCGAATGCAACTTCACTTGCCATTATCCCTGCATGGAACACGATATGGAAAAGAGTTGTGAAGCGATGGGCATCTGGGTGATGGAAAGTGCAGTGACACACTGTCTTGTTTGTCCAAACTATTGTCCACTAGACCAGCATGTGAAAAGCAATTATCGCTTCGAACCGTACGAGGAAGAGGTGATGAGAACAGTTCGGGAGTTGAGAGCGAAATATGAGGCAGCAACTGGTAAAAAGTTAACTCCGGAAGGGCTGAGGAAGGAAGTCATTAAGGTATTCATTGGGGATTCGGTGAACATGATGGATCCAATAAACAAGGCACGCGAAAGTTTGCATACGCTCCACCAAATAGCATTGAGGCCCGTTCCCGGGGGAGTCATTGAATATTCGCAGGTAATGATCAATTCAGAAGAAAGAAATGGCAGACCCGGTCACACCCAGAGAATCACATACATCAAAGACTTATTGGCAAAGGCAGAACAGATTCAGATGCTGATGGATCCACAGAAAGTCTCCAATTACCTGAACCTCTTGATTGACTGCTGGTTATATGCAGAGGATCATATTTGAGAAATAAATATAATTTTTTCCGTCCTTCCATTGAAATCAAGGGATTACATTCGTTCGTTTCAACCCAAATGATTGAATCCGGTAGACGACCGCAGGATACCATGGTTCAAGTTGCCAAGATGACTTAAATATTTAATCTCGGGGGAAAAATCCTCAGAGAAGAAGAACTTGATTCTCCTTGTGCATTTCCGCACATCTGAAATCGGTAATGAGGGCTTAGGCACACTGAGCATAAGTCAAGGATCAAGTCGAATCCATAAAAATTACGGATCTTGGTCCTTGAGTCCGTGTTAACTGCACTCCTGTGACTTCCTGGAAGGCATGGTTATGGAAGCCACCGTGAATGGAGATGAGTAGGGTAATTGACAATTTATTTTAAATTAAAAATGGTTCTTGGTGTGGCGTCGGTGTCCGAGGGTTTCCATATCGTGGTGACGTAATGAACAAGGGCAATATGGGCAAATTCCAGGATTTTCATACCGCGACGATAATATAGGAAATTGTCACGTGGACCGAATACCGTGATATGATGAAGATCCAGGTGTACTGCAACGCCATACCTACAACAAACCAAATGGCGCATGCGCATTGCATTTAGGGACAGAGTCGAGACCCCTCTCATTTCAAGGATGAGCCAATGTCGATTCAATGTGGCAATATTCTTCCACTTGGATTCCACTTGGAATATTATGGATGTTGAATCTCCTATGCTCTTACATCGTTGCATCAACATTACTGTGCAGATTGTGGGTTTTGGCTTATTCCCTCGTCACTCTACCTTCAATGGTTATATGTGAAGGGTTACGAAATCGTTTAGTCCCACTTGTATTTAGGTTGTGATGAAGATGCTACTTCTATTACAATCGGTGCAGCTGATAAAGATCCAACTTCTAAGCGGCCCCAAAGTGCTAATTGGAATATTGAAACAAATATTGGTGCTAATGCAAACGAATGAATTATGTTGACTCCGACCTGCCTGAAATGTCACATTTAATCCTTGAAATACAGAGTCTCTCTCCCTCTCTCTCTTTGAATGAAATGAGAGGTGGAGGAGAGAAAGCAACGATGAGCAATGGCAAAACATCGTAAATTCTCGTTCTCTCAAACGTTTTCTACAAGTCCATTGCTGCAAGGCTTGCTATTAACTCCTGCTAAATGTGAGCTGGTAGGTGATTACTCTCTGAACTACCGATGGCTCGAGTGTGGAATACAATGGGGAACGTGACATTTTTTCTTGTCTCAACTTCTGAATATCAACGACCAATATCTTGACCATCGGCCTCTCCTTGGTGGAATGAAAGAGACTGTGTTTCAAATGCTTAAACTAATAAATAGTCATTAAATATACTTAGAATCTCTTGCATTAAATAAAATCACATTATTCATATTCCATGAGTATCCATACAATGTTAATGATTACATGGCTGTTCTGAAATGGGGAAATGTATTAGTTGAATTCTTCTTCCTAGCTGATAATTTGTTTTTCCCGAGATCGAGATCGAGCCCGGGGGGGCTCTTCCAGCGCTATATCTCGTTTTCTAATCTTTCCCGAACTACCGAAAGCGATGAACGCAGAGGCACTATCCAGCACCAAAATTTCACTTTGATGCAAGATGGCAAAGTGCGCCCCTTGCATTAGATGTACCAGGTGCAGTTGCGATCATGATGGAACACCGGTGGAAGTGAAGACGTCGCGCCAAAACGGGGAGGAGGAAAATAACGCAGAATTATGTGAATCATGTACCTGACATCAAGGAAGAAATTGCGACCCAAAATGGTTAGCGTGAAACAGGTGAATAAAGAACAAAGAAAAGGCTTTGCGAGTTGTTCCCGTCAGTGCTTCCTCGATAAGACTTTGACTTGGCGGCCTAGCCTCGGGGATACCCTTCTTCCGATAGAGCTTGTGACGAAGGGTTCACTTCATTCAGAAAAAATTTGATTATTGGAGATTTGAGATGATTGACTTTCCAACAAAAAAAAATCTACCCTAGGCATACAACTATCATCGGAAAGAGGCTAAGCTGAAATTCATCGGTTCTTCCATCAACCAGGATCTTAAGGCTTTCATGTAGCATATAATGAAATTCTATTTTTGGGGAGATCCTCCTGAACACTCCCACGAGTAAATATTAGGCAAACAAAGTGGGAAGAAAATGAATGATTCAATTACCCAGCGATTGGAATCTTTACTGAAAAGCAGGCCTGAGCATATCACACTATTTACCTATGAGCATCCCTCGTTCTATTATATGCTCATCTCAAGTAACAAAATATTGCTAGTATTATCTCACGTGTTTATGGATTTCTACCAATAACTGTTAACCTGGCCTCCACGAAACATGTATGTCCGGATATTTCAGGAGAATCAGATTTCACCTTGGAGTCACGTTCCTTCCAGGTGCCATATGACTCTCACAAAACCAACTATATGTCACATTCCAGGGCTCCTAAGTTGATGGAGTTAAATCATTTGAGTGAAAATTAAAAGAAAGGTTTGAGTCTTCGGTGTTAAATATCTGGGACTATTCTGAGAAACATTTGGCTTGGTCACGAACAGCTTCGGCTGGTGCGAAATGCCATTTTCAAGGCCGACATGGCCCCCATGCGTAGTCATTTGCAAAGAAATCCGAGTCTAAAGTTCAAGGTACGTTCCTTGAATTTCACCATTTGAGTGGGAATACCTGTATACCAATTCAACGACACATTCTAGAGGGTGTACTAATACTTATTTTTTACCATTGGATTAAGTGAGAGAAATAAGAAGTGGCAGGAGGAAATCTTGCTATCAGCTGATAAGAGCACTCCGTCCATCGCACAGTACCTCATACCGCTAGAATCCCCTCATCTAATCAAGGTACTCAAGATATGGAGAAGTTGGAGGGATAGGTCTGCCTTTCTCCATTCGTTTCCCACGGCAAATCATGGGTAAACATTTTTCAACGTTACCGTTCTTCAATCGCAATCCTCGAATCGCGTATGTTTTCTCATATCTTCTCCTCCCTGTTGCATCGTTACGAACTTTAGGTCGATTGGAAAGTTTTCGAAAATCAATGGGCGCGGGCCCATTAAATTTCGCATGCTTCTTCCTCTCTCAAAACAGAATCACTCCAGCAAATTTGAAGCTCCATATCCCCGCGGTTGTGGAGATCATTGAATCTCGCTTTTGGGAGATGTGAAAGTCGTTCTGGAATTTCCCCCAACTAATCCCCTTAGGTAGTTTTTGGGAAGTTTATGGAGACATTAGACCAACCAAACGAAAGATATTCACCTGGAGGTGACGAAGAGACTCATGTTTTTGTTTCAGCTCACCATTTTGCAATGGAAAATGAAATTAGATGTCGTTTTGCCATTTTTGACTTAGCGCGATGGGTCCAGTCCCGTCCTCCAGTGTTGCTGGATATCTTGCCTTCGTTATCCCATATTCATGATTTCATCAGCCATCGTATAGGTGTCTTACGTAAATCTTACGTAAAATGAATGTAAGCATGCTCTTTGGAATGCAAACGGGAAGGTCAATTTTACGTAAAATTTACGTTAATTTTTTATCACCGTTTACGTATCACAGAGGTGACATTTCTGCAAACATGGTTTGCGTAAAATTGATATAAAATGGACAAAAAATTAACATTCGTTTTACGTAAAATTAACATAAACATGCTGTTTGGGCTGGAGGCATTCCTTCCTTAGACCTATTCCAGGTGGCTCGCAGAATTTCATATTGACCTAACGTTCCGCATCCCCAATGAAATGGTTCATGAAACGCGAAACAGGCTTAAAATCGATCTTACGTTATACGTCCTCTCTAAAATGGTTCGTCAAAGTATGAATAGGCCTGCGATTGGCCTAACGTTACACGTCCTCAACCAGATGTTTGGAAGACCACGGATTTATCCTTAGAGGCCTAATTGTCCCCGTAAGTTGAGAACTGAGCTTCTCTTGAACGAGAAAAGGTAGTCTTCGGGGTGGCCCGAAGGTAGTCTGTTTCTTGGGCCACGTTAGTGAGTCCCATAGAGCAAGATAGGTGAGGTGGGTTGAAAAAAGGGAAAGCCATTGAAAATTGGTTTTCCACTGACTTCATATTCCTATTAGTGGATCGGGAAATTTCCAGGGTAATTTTAAAATATATGTAGTTTTATGTGACGAAAGGTGACTTATTATATGCGGCCAAAATACTCAAGTTGGGTAACCTAAGCTCGAACAATCGACACCTGCGGTAAAGACTCTGTCCTGAACCTGAATGTGTAGTTGTGGCTATGAGAAAAATGTGCGGGATATGGAAACAGGAAAAACTGCACATTCAGACGTTGCTTAAAATAAAGTTAAAGTTTTTTTCATGGAACTCTAACCCTAAGTGATTCTGGAATGGGCAAAATTATTTCCTTAAGGCGGGATTCAAGGGAATCGAAATGAGTCATTGTCTTCATTTCAAAGCTCTGTAATGAAGGAGACACCAAGAAGAGTTCAAGAATAGGGGAAGAAGTTGAGATGATTGATGGGTGACAGTTTTTCCTGAATTGGGACGTCGTCTCTTACCAGAATAATCATTCATGAAGCACAAGGGCTCAAAAGTACGCTGTTAGAGTAGAAACGGCTTCAAATCCATGGACTCAGGGAGCTTGGCGCGACGAATAGGAGATAGCCGAAAATATAAATAGAAGTGCGTCCTGTTCTGATAATATGAAGCATGGCACTCCCGGGGGACCTGCCCATCGAGTAGTGATGGCGAATCCATTGCTCAAATACTCATTGGACCACTATGAATGTTGACGAAGTACATGGCCATGACATGGTACATGACATACACTACAAACATAGTGTTTGTTTCATATAGTTGGATCGCTTGACTGCAGTTTTGTTAAGGATGGGATGTGTGCCAGCTCATGTGCAGAAGTGTTCCATTCAAAAAATAGAAAGGTTTGGGTTGAGTCAGGTGCCAACTGCTTTCGCAAGCACCAGTTGTGAAAAATCGAGGCGCAAAAGCACTTCGACCGCATTGTCGT